TACTGATTTTATAATTTATTTTGTATAATTCATGCTGTTAATATTATCCATTATCATTTTCTCTATTATAGTCATTTATGTTGAAAATTGTAACATTTTCATTAAAATGAAGTTAAAATAAAGAAAAGTAACATGAAAGCTGTATGTGTCTAGCTTTTGTAAAAGAAGCATTTAGTGTGATGATTGTCAGATATTAAAATTTTATTTAATTCTGTTGGGTTACATAAAATATTTATCATCTAACTTCTCTATTATATTCTAAAAAAAACTTTCAAAATATTATAAAAATTTTTATAAAAATGAAAAGATAAATTAACTAATTCATAAAGACTATTAAATGAATAGTTTGATACATCAAAATTTTCCTAAATATTTTTTGTTGTTTGTCATTTAAAATAGGATAGTAAATATTAAATCATTAATTTCTAGTTTGATGCAAAAATTACAGGAGGCATCTATAATTAATTTTCAGCTATAGTGATAAGATTTTTATTTATAAATTAAATCTAACTTTATTTAACTTATTTAGACCATTTCTTTAAAATATTTTTTAGCTATAGACATTTTGTAATTGTTATATAACATTAGTACTCCTACTATCACAATTTTATTCAGAAAGTTTGTCATTTTAAATTTTAATTATGAAATTGTTTTTATAGTTATTTTAAATTAATTTAGTAATACTGTAATTAATTAAAGTAGGAAAATTCAAACTAATTATATTATATATATTATAGATGTTATAACCATTTCTAGATCTAAAGTGCTTTGATTTTTTCTTCTATTTTTAATAGTCATAATTTTGACTTTTGTTCTTCCAATTCAAGTTTGAGCATTTTAAATTAAGCTATTTCACAATATCTTTAAATAGTTTCAAAACTTATTTCCAAAAAATAATTTTAAAATCAAATTTGATAATTTTTTAAATTTATTAATTAGTCTATATATATATGAATGTGTCTGGGATCAAAATGTATCATATGCAAAATCATGTTTGTAATTTAAAAAAAAAAAATAGAATGAAAAAAATTGTAGCTCTGTTCCATTTGATATTTCTTAATTAGATTTGTTACAGGTGTGTTCAGGATATTTACAAATCATGAAAATTTTGAAATCACACATACCTAAAAGTGTGTCAAAACTGAGGATCTAGGTTATATATGGTTTGACAATGCTAATTTAAGTAAAATATGAAAAATATTTTACATATGCTAATTTAAGTTATAAACATGTTCTAATGTTTGTTCCTCTTTATGATAATGCAGTAAAATAATGAATTAACTGCATAATGTTAGTCTGACAATAATATCATTTTCAGATCATAATGTAATTAATATGCATGTTCAGATCTGTCCTGTATTGTAGTTGGTTGTGTGTTTTCTGTCTTCATAATATTCATCTGCAATTTATTTTTTGGTAGTATTTCCTTTGTAAACATTGACATAGTATTTCAATGATCTTCATCCTACTTGCTCCAAAGAGCTTTCCAATAACTTTATCACATCAGATGACACCTTAGCATTAACAGGAATCTCAACAGTATATTTCTTGTTCAGTTTGATTCAGGAATGTTGATATTGTGTTCACTTGTGTTGCAGAATGTGTTGTTCTTCCACAGATACTGTACACAATGTAGAAAGACAAGTGTGACTCATGCCCATGCTGTTTATACTATATCTGAAGAGGAAATGAGTGACAACATAACAGAAAATTGTATCATGTTATGTAATGTTGTCTGAAAAACAACAGCTTTTTCAACATACATAGTACCAAACCCAATTTTTACCAGTAACTCTCCAAAAAGTTGAAATGTATAGAGCACTTAAAGATGGAGTGGGTATTAATTTCAAGGAAACTGACATGCTGTCTACAGCATGGAATTCCATTTTTGAACTCTTGTAAACAGTTCTAGTGAGATACTCCTCACTAGACTGTGCTGATACAAATTTACATTAATTAATAATAATTTAAATTAACTGTTATTTATGTCAAATAATTATTTTGAAATATTAATTTGTCATTATAAATTATTCTTTAATCATTTTGAATAATATACATATATATTTTGTTTGGGATACATTTTAAAACATGAATTTAAATTATAAAACACTGTGTGTTACATTTTAAGAAATCAGTTTGAACATGTAAAATGTGTTTGATTTTTTACATTAGCTGTTTTTGTTCTGTTCTGTCATATTTATCTGATGATGACTATTTTAAATAGACAAAATCATTAGTAAATAATGTCTTTATTTATTAATTACATAGTGCTGGTGTTGATTTGGTTGTCTGCCAATTTTTACCATTTATTTATCATGGCAGAGAATCAAAACAGATTAAATCGTTTGAGTCATTTGGTACAGATTGATTCAAAGTATCTAACCATATGTTTAACTCAATTTGTCATAAAATGCCTATGGTATGGTTTGATCCCAGACTCTTCATATATATATAAAAAATAATATAAAATAAAAATATTCTCTGATTTTCAAGTGATGACATTGGAGAATATTTATAAATTACAATCTTGGTTTTCTGTTTCAAGTTTTTCTGAATATACTATTTACATAAATTGTTAATCCAACCCAAACTGAATGAGTATACAATACCTTATCATTCCTACATTAACCTTAATCTTCAGTTAATAATTATTAGCTTCAAAACATTTTCAGCTTTTCCAAGTCCATTAGGCACTAATCTTAATCTTTAATTGATAATTATCAACTAAATATTAAGGTTAGTACTTAGTATTACATAGATTGATCTACATATTTTTAGAGTATGATAATGATATGATTATATATATAATCATTTCATTTTGTATGATCTTTATCTTTTTTTTTCTTATATTATTTCGTTATATGTACATGAATCTGTTTTTACTCATGATTTTCAAATAGTATTATTTTGATTTTAATAGTCAAATTGATCTATTAATAAATTATTATTTAAAATAATTGAGTGTCATTTAATAGTAGCAACTTTTATTAAACATATAACTTTTAATACAAATGGAAAGCCCTTGAATCATTACAAAACAATCTTTAAATGTCAAAATATTTCATGTTAGCCATAATGTAGAATTTAAAATTTTGCAATTAAAATTGGAAGTTAGCTTTATTTTAGCTAATTATTTTTAATACCAAAATTTGGTCAAAATAATAATCACAAACTCACAGAAAATGCAAGAATAAAACAGACAAAAATGAATACAGTAGGTTAAACTCCACTAGTAACACAGCTGAATGCAAAACACAATTCATTCTATCAGCACACATGTCTCAGTACTGACATATTCATTTGGAGTTATATGTTGGACTCACATACATAACTAGAACAACTTTAATAATAGAACAACATTAATGTTCACAACTCATGTTCTAGTTGTGAACATTAACAAACATAAACTCTGCTCAAAGTCCTGTGTAGAAAGGATGACTCTTCCTCATAAAGAGAGAGGACAAGACCGTACAGATATTTTAAATTTTTATTACAAATAAATAGACACTGTAAGAGTTTCTACAGAAAACAAGAAACATGACAATAACAAAAATATTTAACTTTTGTATACAAAAACAGTACACTGTTAAAATTGCATAGCACTGACATACACAAGGCAGTCTTGGACTCAGAGAGAGCGCATGGTAGGCATCCTAACAAACTCAGCTATAATCATATTGACAGAACTGTGTCACACTGCTCATGGATGCCATTTTGGAGGGACAGAAGTATTTATATTATGTTATTTGAGATCATAAATACAAAAAACAACAAAACATTTTAAAAGACATGGCACTTACATACAATGATACATGTAGGAAATGACACATCATGCATGAGACTATATAAAACATTACTTTGGGTTGCAAGCTTTTTCCACAGATTACTTACATCAACATAGCCAAATAGCAAACATAGACTAATATATTGCAATCATACTACAAATACATGCTTCAGATATCATAGAAAATAACAAATAAAATATACTGTGATCAAATCTACAACTGCACACAACACAATCACATACATACATCAGACATAACTATTCCAAATATTCACAAAATAAATACACTGAAAACATTAGTAAATACTTAGAACTTGCTCACAAAATAGTCAGAAAATTCTTACAGATACTATTGTTTTGTGATGTTTGTCTATTTAAGTTTTTCAGAATCTATGCATTGACGTTTGTTTAGCATAGCATTGAGTATCAGAATTAAAAGTATATATAATACTAAAGTGTAAAAATAATACTAAATGCTAAAATAAGATGTAGTACTATTTTATAGGCTCATAATTGAAAATTAAAATTGTTAAATAATCCTCACTTCCATGGGTTGTGTCAGATTGACTTATAAACACATGCAATCCATGAGTTATCCTTAAGAAATTTCAATAAGTTAAAATGCACTTATAAAACTTAGCTTAATCTTTTGACTGTAGTCATTTTTTGAGTTTTTTTTTTATGCTCTAAACTTTGACTGATAATGCATAATCATTAGCCAGTCTTATCCAGAGAGCATGGTCTTAAACTACTATTAGCAATACTTGAAGTTTTGAGTCCTATAGCCTCAGGATGTTCATATCATACATTTGAACATCATATCACATGTAAGTGCATAAAAGACTAGCATCTAATTGTTTATGTATGGTATGATGCTAAATATTCCTTGTGTCTCTGGTTGCATTTTTAAACTTTATTATTATTTAAAAGTAAGACTTTCTCTCTGATTCTTTAAAAATTAAATATTTATTTTATTCATTACTTGCTCTTAGTTACTCTTACTATGTTGTTATAATTAAGAGGAAGATAATTTGTCTCAGATATTTAATTTTCTTATTTGTGAACCATTGTACTGAAATAATCGTCCTGTAAACTTAAACAATAAATAGCAATCTTGTTAAATTTTTAAATAAAATTAAATGAAAATAATATATTTTATTTTGAGAAAGATTAGACTTTTTCTCTTTTTTTAATTAATATAATTTTATATTTTCAGATACAGGAAGTAATTTTTCTCCTTTTGGAATTTGCTATTAGTTAAATGTTATTGAATATACACTTTTTAAGCAGTACAGTTCCATTTTAAAGGTAAAAAAAATATTATTTTTTGTAAATTGTTTAACTATATAATTTTTTTAAAATTAAGCCAAAATCAATGGCATAATTTGATATTTTTCATAAAATTATAAAGATATAGTATTTAAACAAAAATTTTTAATTGTTTAAATAGGTTTTTTATTAATTTTAATGTGGTAGTAGTAGTAAATTCCAGAAAATAAAATTGAAAATGGTATTTTTTTTTTGTTGATTTATCAATATAATTACATAATTACAGTCATATAATCAAGGTTTTTAATTCATGATCCAAATAAATATATATTAATTTTATTTTTGACTACTAATGCACTTAATAACTTTTTTAAGTCAAGAAACAAAGTTCATTTAAGATCTGTTTTTCTTTTATTGAAAATATTTTTTATTATAAAATTCAATTAAAATATTTATTTTATGATATTTGTCTTAATTGATATAAAATGATTTAAACCACAACTCCAGTGTTTTAATCATTTTATATTAATTAAAAATTGGAAAAATTCATATAGGTGTACCTTTTAAGATGCTTTGCTAAAAGTGCTTTTTTTCAATTATATTTGTATTTATTACTTTTGGCACTTGATTTGCTCTTAAGGTGTTTTGGGATGTTTTTTTATGTATTATCATTTCTTTGCATATATTTTTAGACGAGATGCTATTGTGCACTTAATAAATGATAGTGTAAATGTTTTTAGGCTTTTATATGCACTGTTAAGTGAATAAAGACTCTAAAAAATGGCTGGATTAATAATTTATAAAAAAGGCAAAATAGTTTAATTTTCATAGTCCTTGAATAATTGCTAAAACTCTTAAAATAAATTATTTAGTTATACAACTTTCATATGGAATTATTTATAATAAAGGCCGTTATAAATACAGTATACATTTTTTATTTATATTGCTAATAATTTTACTAAACTAAAATAAAAGTTGTTTTGAAAATTAATTTGAAGACAAAGTCTGTCCAAACTGGGAACCATTTATTTACTTCTAGTGTTCCAGAATACAAACATTTGATGACCTGACATTTTATTTTAAACATTTTTCTCTGCAATGATTCATTTTGAGATATTTCACTTTTTCAGGTTAAATGCCTTGATCTTTATATGGGGTGTTTACAGATACAGTATGATTGAGCACATTTCATTAATGAATTATAAACAAACGACTTAGGAAGATGTACTAGATATCAAATCATACAGCAGTTCAGTTTTTTATCAAGAAAATAGTTGTCTTCAGAAGAATTCATTATAGGTTCCGTTTCTGATGCGAACAACAGCCAACCAATATTTGATTTCTTGCTATGTGTTCACAATTTCTGGAGTAACTGTTTGGATGATTTCCATAATTAGTCACTTAAGTTCACCAATGTTGCTCACTTTAGATGCACACCCACGATCTTTCACATACCCCCAGAAAAAAATCCAGAGGTGTAAAGTCTGGAAATTATGATGGCCAAGGCAGTGAGTGGTCTGCCATGGTCAAACCAGTGACCAGGTGTGGTGGAGCACCATCTTGTTGAAAGTAAACATTTTGTTTCTGGTGTTCCAGCTGTGGTATGGCATAAGACTGCAGCATACTGAGATTTATGTATTGCTAGTCATGGTAGGCTTACTGAAGAATGGATTGATGACTTCATCCTAGGGCTATCACATTCATGTTGATGGACTTCATGAGTGTTTTTGGACCCCCAAATGTGGTAGTTGTGATGGTTAATGTGATTATAAACATGAAAGGTTGCTTCATCTGTAAAAATGACTTTTTCTAAGATGTTATCAAAGAACATTACAATGAAATCAGAATTGCATGTTTTATCATCCACTTGCAGGTCATGAAACAACTAAGTTTTGTATGCATGCAATTTTAATTTTTTGCCATACTTTCACAAGTGTTGAATGCAGGATTCCCAATTCCAAACTGGCTCAATGAACTCAATTTCCGTGGACTTTGTGCAAACATTTCTTTTACTGATTCAACAATCTTCTCTCCAACTGGTGATCTAGTGGCTGGAGCTTTTCCTCTTCCACACTACTGGTGTCCTTGAATTGTTGATACCAATATTTGATGGAGTCCTTAACAAGGATCATGTTTGTACTCTGAGCAGAAATGTCTTTGCCCACTTATAAGCAATATTTTGCTTGTGATATTACCACACAAATTGCTTTCTCCTGCATGGCTGCCATTTTTGGATCTCACTGTGGCCATCTAGTGGTGATACCAACCATGTTTAAACTATACATAAAAAAAAACTTTTGAGCTACTGTATTTGATATATAGTAAAACTTAAAACTTTCTAAGTTGTTTGATTTATTTGTAAGTACTTTCCTGACTGTTATATATAACAGGGGGAAAGTATGTATGGCAATCTGTCAAAAAGTGACACCACTGAATTTTAACATTTTTGGACTTGGGACCTTGAAAAGTCGAGAAATGCATTTGGGGTAATTTCTATATGTACGAATGCTAGTGTGTGTGGGTGGCATGATTTTGTTCACCCTTTTTGAAGCTTAACAACTCCTATATCTTTCGTTGAAAATTTCTGAAATTTTGCAGGGCGATTTGTGTACCTAAATACGGTGATTGATGCTATTAAATTTTGGTGATTAAAGGTCAAGGGAATGGGGGCAATAAAGAGGGTTGTGTATGTTCAGTAGGGTCAGACTTAATGATTTTATTCATTATTAGCATTTACAATTTTTTATGAAACTCATCTCTACCCTCAAAATTAAGCTTTTTGCCATCTTATAATAGTTAAAAATATAATGGGTGGCAAGAGTAACAATTCCATGTGACTATTCGTTAATTAACGAAGCGTCAACCCACTATCAAATACTGATTTTAAGTGATTTTATCCTCTCAGACATCGGTAGTCACTTGCAATTTGAAAGTGACGATTACAAAAGTTTAACAATCGGTAAAATGAGCATATTTTAAAATAGAGTTTCCTAAACATTCTACTTTTCTATCGAGGATTAGGCCTACATATGAGTAATCTTAAAACAGAACACGTTTTACTATACCATGTGATAAAAAAGGTATCGGAATGGTTCAATAAAAAAACAAGATTTGAATTTATTCATATCTTGGCCAGCCAGAGAAAATTTCGGATGCACAACACCACGACAATCGAAGAAAAAAGTCAACGTTTTCGGAATGACTTGCCTCACGCCCGAATGATTTCCAGAATTGCTCGACAAGAACCAAAATTTATTGCAGCATGACTAATTGTTTAATGTCCATCATCGTGCACCAAGTGAGGTATTGTTCATCAGTCGAAATGGATGATCTACAAAAGCACGGTACGTCTTTCACGCGTTCTCTCTGCCTTCTTCCAACAACTCGTACCACTCAAAACCTCATGATTCTAATAGAAAATCGTTAACAAAGGCTTTTCGAAAGGCCACTGACTGTAAACATAAAAATTGACGTTGATTTATGATTCAAACTCGGCACCTCTNAAAAAAAAAATTTTTTCGAAAATGGCCTTAAGGACCACTTTTTTCGTAACGCTATGTAAACGTGACGAGTTAACTCGTCAATGGGAATTAAGGGGTTAAAAATAAAATATTATAGCAGTGCCACTAAATTGCTGGATTTTTTGTTAATGAAATGCACTCAATCATTTGTAAACTATTGTATAATGCTGCATCTATGATAACAAGATTTTCATATTGTATTCCTATTTCTTCATTTTTACAAAGCTTCATTATATTACTGATTGCTTAACAAATTGTTGTATTATGTAGAAATCATAATGTTAACATTATCTAACCAGATCTGTTGGATTTAGTAGCATTATCTAAATGCAATTTAGATAATGCTACTAAATCCAATAGATCTGGCTGTTCAGATTATTTTCTGTTATTAAATCAATTAAAACTGTAAATACAAATTATTCAACAAGAGATTTGGGTTTTATCAAGAGCTAGGTAAAACAATTTCCACAATACTTTACTCTCAAGTACAGCTCTCCCTTGATAGTCCGATGTTTTTTAATCCGACATACTCAGTAGTCCGACGCACCTCCCGTCAAGGTACCCATCCCTGTTACGTGTCTGCTTGCACAGAAGCATGTTGCGATGTGAATCTCCCCATCCAATNACACTTATTTATATTATGATCCTTATTACTAAGGACAGACTTGATAATTTAAAAAAAATTCTTTCCCCTGTCAAATATTTTGATTAAAAAATCTTCCAGTAATTCTTTCTGGAAAGACATGACGAAAACACTAAGAAAAAAACTTGGCAAATATAATCAGGTGTGTTTAGTAGTATAAGTAACCAATATTGCTGAGAAGAAGATAGATAGATAGATAGATAAAACACTATGACTTTTTTGGCTGCAGATATTCCATTTTTAAATGGAAAAACATGTTTTTGGAAAAATATAATCTTAACAAGAACTTCTGAGTCAACATTACAGAAAATCTATTTGAAAAAAAATATATATATTTTTTTTCAAATAGATTTTCTGTAATGTTGACTCAGAAGTTCTTGTTAAGATTATATTTTTCCAAAAACATGTTTTTCCATTTAAAAATGGAATATCTGCAGCCAAAAAAGTCATAGTGTTTTATCTATCTATCTATCTATCTTCTTCTCAGCAATATTGGTTACTTATACTACTAAACACACCTGATTATATTTGCCAAGTTTTTTTCTTAGTGTTTTCGTCATGTCTTTCCAGAAAGAATTACTGGAAGATTTTTTAATCAAAATATTTGACAGGGGAAAGAATTTTTTTTAAATTATCAAGTCTGTCCTTAGTAATAAGGATCATAATATAAATAAGTGTTAAACTATCATCAAATAAAAATTAAAAATATGCTCAGTCCTCTTTATACAGTTTTTAGCTATAACAATCTTCTGCTTTTATAGGTCAGTTTTGATTTTCTGCTTGTGTTTCAGCTTAAAATCATTGGTATATATTTTTTTCTAACTCTTTAATATATTTTTATTGTACTCTGTCCATTAATTATTGCATTTTTTAAATAAAAATAGTTTTTGTTATTATTTTAACTAAAAATTTCTAATTTCACATTTTTCTATTAAATTGAAACATATCTGGTGGAATTTGTATGGTTTTGTACACAAATAAATGATTCATTATACAGCATTTCACATACTGGCCAACATTTTCAGAATATATCCTGTCAGTATATTGAGGACTGAGTTTATTTCTTTCTTTATTCTATCATTGTAAATGTTTCAGTTATCAAAGTTGTAATGAATTTTGCACAATAATTTTGTTGTTTTAATTATTTGTAGCTAGTATTGAAAAATATTACATATTAATTTTTACTTTTATGCTAATATACTATAAATGATATATCACTACAAAATCAATTTTTAAATAGATAATAATTTATTTGTTTTTACAGATTCTATGCATTTATATGTGGTTTTGAAAATTCAAGCATGATGAAATAACAGTAATTAATTACGCATTCCAAAACAGTGACAGTGTTTATTCATTCACAAATGAATTAAGGATCATCATCAATGTAGTTGTTTTTGTGTACATATTTTTTATTGAATAATATTGAAAATTCCTTGCTACTTCTGTCATTCCTTTTAAACTGATAAAGCTTCACTATTTAGAAGAAAGGTTCCCACTGGGTTGCCAGCAGGTAAGAAATGAGTTTAAATTTTATGTAAAATTCTTTTATGCTTTGTAATTTAATTTATGTAAAATCATAAAGATTGAGTATTGGTTTGAATATAAAGTTTTTGCATTTTTGGAGATTGCAAGATAATTTTTTAAAAATATATTTATTTAACAATGTCTATTTCCATTGTTTTTCAATTATCTTCTTCCAATCTTTCACAATTTTATTGATTCAATCTGCAAAAAGTTTTTTGTTTTGACTCAAAATTATTGTGATATTCAATGGCTTGAAAGTGCAAATGTCAAAAGAGCTATTGATAACAATGAAAAGATAAAAATTTTTTGGATGTAATGAATGGCAAAATTATGCTAAAATAAGTTTTAGTATTGAAACTAGGGTTTCTCTAATCAGATCCCAGCAGTCCATGCTGTTTTTTAAACTGGGAGATTCTTCTCATCCCAGGAAATCCTGCAAATTTCTTAAAAGTTTACTTTTTTCTTATTTTGTGTTAATGTTGAGGAAATTTTGTGAATAGAAAATATAATTAACTCATAAACTGTCAGAATACATTTGTATTTATTAATTTATTCTTCCTTACTAGTTTTTTAAATTTTTGCTTGTTATGGCATGTTACAGATTGTCAATAATCAATATGTAGCCTATTTGTGGCAGGACTCTGAAAATTCTTTACTTGTCAGAATCTGTAATATCTTGAATAATTGTGCCAATGCTGTCTTAATTTTTAACCATGCCTGGTAGTTTCAATAATTGCATTATACCAGGTTGTGCATATTGGGCAAGGATACAAACAAGTATGCAAGTATGGAGTTTTTCTTCATAAACCTGATTATTGTCAAATGAACTACTGAATTATTGGACTCTAAGCTTGATGCCACTATTAAAGCAGCCAAGGTAGACAAATCAACAATACTAGATGGCAAAAGAAGTACTGTAACACATCTCGAAAACAAACTATAAATCTTTGAGGTTACAGCTGAAAAAACACAACACCTGTCTTCTCTTAAATGCATTAAAGACAATTCCACCACATCATTGTTAAGTTTTAGAGCATCAATTAATTAGTACGAAATGACATGGTTCACACGGATAAGATAAATTGTCACCTGTATACCCAAAAATGTCTGAAAGCTATGCACACCATTTTGTGTAAACATTTGAAAGGAATAGCCATAGATATGAAGAAATACGCACAATTTATTGCATAAAATATGTACTTACGTCAATACAGTTTGATAACAATGACACGTATCGTGAGCAATGGTGAACTTTTCAAACATACTCGACATTAACTTGTTATCACTGTGTGATAGTCTGCCTTTTTGTTGTTTTTTTATGTGATGTTATCAAACTGTATTGACGTAAGTACATATTTTATGCAATAAATTGTGTATCTCTTCATACCTACGGCTATTCCTTTCAAATGTTTAAACAAAATGGCGTGCATCACTTTCGGACATTTTTGGGTATACAGGCGACAATTTATCTTATCCATGTGAACCACAGGTCATTTTGTACTAATTAACTGATGCTCTAAAACTTTCTAATTGGAAAGTTTGCTGTATCTGTTTTCATTTTCGATTTGCACTGCCTATCTTCCAAATTTCTACACTGCTGTCGTTTGCATTAGATCGGGCATAGTCACTTTACTATACTGTTATCTCACTTGCATACCTGTAGCTCTCTCCATTTGCAAGAATTTTCTGGTTAAAGGGACTTTCCTATGCACCCTGTATATATGTATATATATATATATAAAGCAATATTTTCCATATATATATTTCTTTCTTGTTAATATATTTCAATGTTAATATTTTTTAATTTTAATAATATTAATTTTATAATAGATTTTAAAACAACATAAAAATGTGGTCCCATTTTCAAATAAACAAACAACAATAATGAAAAAGCCAGTCCAAAACTCTAAAAAAGTTGCTGTGTTTTTGCAAAACACTAATACATTTCTTAAATAATTTTTCAATAAAAGAATTGTCTGACAGTCATTGTCTTAAAAAATTTTCATTTTTAGATTTTAAAAAATATTTTCATTTGCACCTTGTGCTGAAAATAGATGATTCATCAACTTCAATTTTACTTCCATAAATGAACACAATACATCAAATTTATGAATGTATGTATGAATAGTTTTAGCAAAATGGATCAAATGTTTAATTTTTTGGAATACAATGGAAGCTGATCAGATGTATAGTTTATACTAAATAATTTGAATTAAAGAATTTTATTGATAATTAAGTAATACAGATAAAATGTGATTACTTTAGTTCACTTTAGTGTGTAAATAACTAAATTGTACTTTATACACTTTAGTTATAATAGCTTCTTTTTTATGCTTAATTCACACTAAGAGTGAATCACTGGTGAAAGCAAAAAAACAATGAACAACACATTATACAAGAGGTCATTTTTGATGAATTTTACCATTTCACAAATCACTCTATGTTTGGAAAAAACATTGAGTGATCTTTGAAATTATTTAGTGGTGAAATTACCTGCCAACATTATCAGTGTTTGTTGTCAGATGTTTCTAATGGTTTTTAAGATGGTTACAAAGTATCATCAAAGAAGACAAAATGAAGAAATTAAACATATAATTGTAGTTTTTGATGTAATGCTGAAAGTTTCACAGTTTTAGAATAAAAACTTACATTTTTTTACCTGACATAACTCTTTTGCTTTTTTAATGTGCCATCTAGAGAGGCATGTATAACCTCACTTAAACTGGCATTCCCTGGGCTAAACTGGCATGCCAGTTTTTACCATAAGGAAATATCAGATTTTATGGTCTCCCTGGATAGACTGGGATGCTGGTCATTCTGCGAAAATATGGTATATCCAAAGCACTTTATTCACTATGCTTATGTATGCTGAAGAAAGAAAAATAAGCAAAACATGAGAGAAACAGTAGCAACTCAATTTTCAGAAAGGAAAAAGGCTCTAAAAATAGAACTTAAATTTAAGTACAGTAATACCTCGACTTACGCTATCCTGACTTACGTGAACCTGGAGTTACGCGATTTTCAAATCTCGTCGATTCGTCTTTTGTTTGAGCGCCACACAACTCTCGATTACTTGCTCCACCCATACTATTGTTCGACTTACATGTTCGGACATGTCGCGTGGAATCGACACATAGCTACAATTTATTTTGTGTTATTTATTTCTGTGTTTGTTATATCTATGGAGACTTGAGAGACTCTATGTGGTGATTTCTTGTAACCGTGAACGAATCAAAAGACGAGATAAGATTAACAAGANAAAATAATTTTTAACGATACAATAGTCTTCGTTAGGCTTAACATCGACGAAAATTCAACGCGAAGCGGCACGCAACGGAGAAAAATTTCAACATGGGATAAATTAATATATTTTTTCGTACATGATTCGTTATCCGAACCACCCCAGTCCCCAATTGATTTGGATAAACGACGCTCTACTGTATATGATTAGAATATTTTATTCTTGCAAATATCAGTTGATATTCATTGTATCAAATATTTCATAGATTGTAAAGAGTAAGAGAGAGAAGAAAGTTGCTCCTCCTTTTGTCAGATTATGTTAGGTACTCACAACAGGATCACACTGTATTTAAACCTCTAATATTTTTGTGTATATATAGTAGCTTGTCTTTCATAATATTTATAGTTTTAAGGGATGATAGTTCAAACTATATTAAATATGTCATTAGAATAAAGCATTCTAGGATTTAAGGATATATAATTTAGACTTGATGTCTCATCATAACTAAGTATATAAGTTAATTGACTAATAAACTATCAGTAATATGGTATTTTGGGAAAATATTTAGTTTTTACAGTAAAAAGTAATTAAATTTACTTCGGAAGACATCATTTTCTATATAATACCAAAAAATATGCAATTAGAATATTTTAAATAATCCTATCAATAATTGCATTTTTATTGAATTATTACATCAAAAACTAACAAATCAACTTTTTCCATGAGTCTAACAATTTGGCAAGATACTGTAATCTCTCCCAACCCCATTCTATTTATATTATGTAATATACATTGTTCTTAATAAATATGGTAAAACTTATCACATACAAACCTCTAATTCGAAGAAAATGAAGAACTTGGTAGGTCAATGTAATAGCATAAATTTATACTAAAGATGTTTTCAATATATAATTAATTAAGTTTATATGAACTTCCGATGCAAACTGGAAGTCATGTTATTTCAATTCAAAATTTTCCCAAGAGGAGTTAGATGACTGGTACAATTTCCTTGCTAATGGAAAAGTATGATGTACAGGGGTGAGACACTACTAATTTGAAGTGAAGAGCATATATTTTAAATTAAATAAATTAAAAATATGATTAATAATTGCTTGTTCTGTTTATATTATTGATCTAATTATTCTACATTTATTCATGGATTTTACTAGTGTAAAGCTATTTATTTTTAATTATTGTTTTAGTTGGACATAAGACTTATTTGTGATACACTAATGATCTTATTTGTTTTCTTGGATTTCATAATTGTTTTAAATCTACAAGAGTGCATGGCAAAGTTTTTCCCAAGAGGTGTTTGTGCTATTAAACAATAAGACCCAATCCAATTTCAGTTTCATATACACAACTCAACAAACCTGATTCTTGATTAAAGCCAGATGATCTGCCAAATTATCAGACTGTGATTAGTCTAAGTTAATAATTAAGTACAAAGTAATTTGTTTAGAGGTAGGTATTAATTTATTATAATTATTAAAGTTATCACAAGATGACAGCTTAACTGCCCACCTTTAGACAAATTACTTTGTATGTAATCAGGGCCGTGCGGTAGATTTTCTAAGTATGATGCAAGTCTTTGAAATTCTGCCCCTTAAATGTTTTTTATGCCGCTCCCTCGCGGTGCCGCCTGATGCGGCCGCATCTCTGCATCATAGCATGGCATGGCCCTGTATGTAATTAACTTAGCCTAATCACAGCTTAATAATTTGAAAGATTGTCTAACTTTAATCAAAAGTCAGATTTGTTGAGGAGTTGTTTATATACATGCACACAAAGCTGGAGTAAAACAATAGTTGGCTGAGTGCCATGGAGGAGGACTAAGTTCTTAAAGTCATCCCCAGTCAATGCCATGAGTGACCTGTATTGTTATGTCTAAATTAATAGTTCTGGGAAAAAAATTTGGATGGAGATCTTGGTAGCCTAAATGGCAATGCACCTTCATTGTAAACACAAGTAGCGAGTTCAATCCCTATTCTGGATCAATTCTTTTCTTTCAGAAATTCCAAGTTAAAATTAATTTATTATAATTATTAAAATTATCATGAGATGGCAGCTTAACCACCTATTTCTAGACAAATTACCTCATTTTTAATTATTGACTTAGCTTAATCTTAGTTTGATAATTTGGCAGATTATCTGATTTTGGTTTCATTTTACTTATGATTAGAATATTTGCAAAGTGACTGCTGGATTAAATTGCCAATATTTTAGTAATATTCCAAACAATTTAATCTGGTAGTCATTTGGCATATTACTAAAATATTGAGCTTCAGAATGCTTATACAGTAGAGCGTCGTTTATCCGAAAGCTGGTTATCCGAAACGTCTGTTATCCGAAAGCATTCCAGTCGGCAAATTTAAATTTTCACTAGTGCTGTGGCGCTGCAATCTTCGGCTATTTCTTGGGTTACTCAAATATTTTACGTTTTTGATACTAAATTAACATCTGAAGTATAATTTTTTATTGTTTTTATATTTTTCAATATATTTATTTTGTTTGTA